ATCTATATAATCCCTAAGTTCACGGAGTTCATCTTTAGTACTCCAATGACTTCTAGGAGAATGATGACCATGCACACTACTATCATGAAAATGATCACTTATTTTTGCGAAAAAAGTTTTTACAAGTTTTCAAATAAAATGCAAAAATAGAGTGATAAAGATTTTCACAAAAAAATTTCTTTTTGGTGCAAGACTAAGTACTTAGAGGTCTAAGTATACAAGTTATATTATCAAGGGACGTGAGCTACAAGGAACCACTTAATAACCAAGTTTTTTCAAGTAGAAATTACCAAATTCTTTTATCCTTGTCTCACAAAACAATTTTGCACACAAGTCATGTAAATGTGTGTGCATGCACGAACCCCTAATAGGCAAAGAAGCCTTCTAAACAAACTTGGAACGTTCCTAATTACATTTAGAATGTAAACTAACAAAGCAAGCAAGTAAAGAAAGCAAGTTAAAGCATATACTAGTCGAATGCCCTAAGGTGGAAGTCTAAGTGATACTTAGAGCCCCTTAGAACACTTCCACAAGTACTAAACGTTCTAAGAAAGTAAGTAAAATAGACGAGTCCTAGTGGAAGCCCAAATGACACTTAGAGCCCTTTGGGACACTTCCACAAGTACTAACGGATACTAGGTTTCAATTAGAAAACATAGGAGTGGTGGGAGAACACAAACTATGCTTCCCAAGTCACCTCTAGTAAGTCTATACAAATTTAAAGCAAAGAATATAAAAGGTCCAGCAACCAAATGAACCTCAAATGAAACACAAATGAAATTAAAAATCAAGCAATTTGGTGACTCACTTTTGCAATGAATGTTAGAGAAGGATTTGCTTACTGATGGAAATTTCCGTCTCTAAAGTAGTCTATAATCTGGTTACAATTTTATGTAATCTTCTGGGACCTGCAAAAAAGAGAAAACAAGTTATCCACACCAATGCTTGTCAAAGCAACCGATTTTCACTAAGTTCAAGGACAAAGACACAAATATAGGGTTTAGGGTTTAGGGTCTGGCATAACAAGATCACATAACTTTTTCATCATTTGTCGACTAAAATAATCATGTAAATACAACAAATTTTGAATGAAATGAGGGACAAAGGCAAATATATACGACTTTCATACCCTATATTTTCTCACAATGAATACAAAATGTATCTAACAAAATCGTCTCAAATTTTTGACATCGAGGTAAGGCATAAAAAGATCGTATATCTATTTCATCATTTGTTGACTAAAATAATTATCATGTAAATACAACTAATTTTTACTGAGATGGCGGACACAACCAACTATATAGGGCTTGAATGCCCTATATTTTCTCACGATGAATATAAAATGTATCTAATAACAACCGTCTCAATTTTTCGACATCGGTGTCAGACATAAGAAGATCGTATACCTCCTTCATCATTTGTCGACTAAAATAATCATCATATCAACACAATCAATTTTTACTGAGATCAGGGACATAAACAAATATATAGGGTTTTCATGCCCTATATCTTCCCACGATGAATACAAAATGTATCGAATAACAACCGTATCAATTTTTTGACATCAGGGTCAGCCATATAAAGATCGTATACCTCTTTCATCATTTGTCAACTAAAATAATCATCATATCAACACAATCAAGTTTTACCGAGATGAGGGACAAAAACAAATATATAGGGCTTTCATGCCCTATAATTTCTCACGACCAAATAACAACTGTCTCAGATTTTCGACATCAGGATCAATTATAAAAAGTTTGTATACCTCTTTCATCATTTGTTGACTAAAATAATAATCATACCAACACAATCAATTTTTACCGAGATAAGGGACAGAAGCAAATATATATGGCTTTCATATCCTATATTTTCTCATGATGAATACAAATGTATCAAATAACATCCGTCTTAATTTTTCGACATCAGGAAATG